GCTGGAGTTACCAATGAGAAGAGAAAGAAAAGCGGCGGGGCCATGTGCCAATTGGCAGCAGCCAGTGTGCACAACCGTTATGCCGGCCCAGGGGTTCCTAAATGCAATGTAACACCAATGCGAACCCTGCTATAGGCAATGTAATCACCAACATGAACCCCGCTATAGGCAATGTAATCACCAACGTGAGCCCTGCTACAGGCAATGTAACACCAACGTGAGCCCTGCTACAGGCAATGTAACACCAACGTGAGCCCTGTTGATTGCCTGCTACTTTACACAGCGTATGTCTTTTATTCCCGTAGCCCTAGTGTAAGGTGTTCTCCCTTGGTTACAGAGTGAAAACTAAACCCAGAAAAGGAATTATTCGCTCAAGAACTCATGTTAGTCGGTAGTGATGATGGGATTTGAATACTGACTCAGACACAGCCCCCGGGGAGGTCGGTGGCTATGCTCTCTGCAGAGATGGGGGAAGACCTACTTGACAAGACCACAGTCTTGACTTTGCTGAGCAGGCCCATCTCAGCCAGACATGGGGCCTTATCCCACGGACACACAAACTTGAACCAGACCTGGCTGGTTGGCCCTCCTGGGTTCCTTGTTCCTTAGTGGTACAAAGTGGGAAAGAGAGATGAGATGCGGTAGGTAAGGGGCACCTCAGCTAAAAAGTGACATGGCACGAAGGCTCCCACTTCACTGGTCCAAATTAACAACGGGGCACGGGTTAGGGAATACAGTCGCTGGCAGAGGGAACGTGCTCATGACCTTTCAAGGGTCAGCTAGGTGTTTATACCGCAACCACACTTGAGATGGAGTGGGTAGTCACATGATAGCCTAGCAAAGGCTGGTGAGTAGTGCGTGGATCTTGGGTTGCTTGGTCTTCACCGGAAGGGGGTCCTCCATGGACGTGGACTGGTGCTTCTCTTACAGAGCAGATCCTGCAGGTCAAGACCAGCCTCCAGGTGTCTGTGGCCTAAGTTTATTGATTGGGAGGCTACCCTGGTATTCGAGTCAACGCCACTGAAATCTCCTCTCAAGTTGAGCCTGGCCAGGGTCCTAGTCTTTGAGAACAAGCATCCTTTCTGGGGCTTTAGCTAAAATCAGCTGTGTCTGGTCATGTGACTTGCTGAGGTTTTTAATAAGTGCCCGTTAACTGGCTGGCCATGCGGGAATTCAGGCAAGGAGTTTCAAATCTTGTCTCTAAATCGGCGGACATCAGATGTTTACAGAAAAAATTCAAATAAATGTGGTGTTTAGAATAAAAAAGGGGACCAGGAAAAGAGAGTGGATAGACTCTAAGCAGAGGAATACCACCAGGCTAATCTCAGAGTCATATTTCAGATTTCAAGTTTTTCTGTTCTCTTTTCTCCCAAATTGACATTAATTATGGATTGTGTCCCTTGGATACTTGTTAACGCTATTAGCTTTGGAACAGCATTTCCTGCTTCACTTTCAGATGCGACTGTTTGTTTAGACAGCTGGCTCTTGTTTCTGAGTGCAGGTTCAGGGGTCCAGCTGAAGGACAATGGTCTTCAGTGTCCTAAAAGAGACTCGAATACTCTGCTTTTCAGGAGTGGATGAAGACAGTCTTCACCCTTGGGGACTAGCCTGGCCTCTCTCTGGAACAACACTTCTCTTTGAGCTCCATTTGAGCTGCGTAGTTTCTGAAGAGCCAGCTCTCCTGATGGTGTGATGCTGTTTATGGAAAATGGCCTGTGACTCCCCTTGGAAATGTCCCTCAGCGGGAGACTGCAAGTGTTTCTGCAGTTCCCAGATGAGCGAGAGAAGGGGAAGTCAGGGTCTTTCCCAAGGTCACATGGAGCTTTGAGATCCCGACTTCCAACTTCTCATCCACTAAAAGGCCACCTTCATGAAGCCTCTTTTTGTACTCAGTGGACAGGCATGATGTCATTGGTGTTATGGATCATTGCCCCCCCCCCCCCTTATCAGACTCACACAGGAGACAACTGAGGGGTGTTGCCCTCTAGCATCGGTGTTGGGACTCACCGATGTCTTTACAATCCTGTTTAGAAGTGCTCCCAAAGCCACACCTGATCCTCTCACAACCCTTGCTGTAAACCCACCAGCCTCTGCACCGTTTGCCTTCTCTTCAGCACCTGCCATCTTCCTGCATCTCACAGATTGACATCTTAGCTCCCTTGACTTCCTGCTGCTTCCGTCCCCCACGAAACCTCTCCAACGGACCTGTCTTCCTGTCTGCATAACCAAGGCCAGTCTGGTTACTCAAAACTGAAGCAGACCCAGATTCCAAAGGTGTGTTCTAGCCCAGATGTGGGCTCTGTGGGCAAGATCAGGGTCAGCTCCTTCAGCAGCTCCGTGGGACCCAGGATGGCGGGAGGTCCGCAGCCAGGATGCAGGGGCAAGGGAGACACATCGGAGCTGGGGTCACAGACTCCGCCGATGACATGACATGTAAAGGACATGACTTCGGGACAGAAGTCCTGCTCCAGGACCTTGTGCTATACAAAGCCACGCACAGTAGAAACCCACATGAGAGCAGTCAGGAGCATACTGCTTGTGAAAGAGGCCTTGCTGTATGACGATGCTCACAGTTGCCCTTTCTGTCCCAGGAGACCCAACTCACTCCCGAGACATAACTGATGTGGGAGTCCCCTCTGTGTGCTGTGGTTACCATTGATGAATCAAGAAACTGCTTTGGACCTATAGCAAGGCAGAACTTAGGTAGGCAGGGAAAGCTAGACTGAATGTTGGGAGGAAGAAGGGCCGAGTCAGAGAGACGCCATGGAGCCGCTGTCAGAGACAGATATGCTGAAACTTGCTGGTCGGCCACGACCTCGTGGTGATACACAGATTAATGGAGATGGGTTAAATTGAGATGTAAGAGTTAGCCAATAAAAAGCTAAAGCTAATGGGCCAAGCAGTGATTTAATTAATACAGTTTCTGTGTGATTATTTGGGTCTAAACCAGCCAGGCAGCCGGGAACCAATAAGCAGCCCCCTCACAACACATAAACTAGTCTCTGAAGAAAGACATGAAGGCATTCACAAGAGGAAATCTCTCAGGGCACAGTTAGCTCCCTTCTGACACCGCTGCACTGGGAAGTGAAGACTCTACTTGAGTTTTGTTGGGGACAAACCACATCCAAACTTTAGCAGGAGGTCACCACAGTATCCGCCAACACTTACTCAGGGTCAGATCCTGGCCGGATCGGTTCTGAGCACACTGCGGCATAACTCATCAGTCCTCGCCCTGACAAGTTTGTTAACTTGTCCAAGACCTCAGAACTGCCAGGAGTTCGGCTGGAATTAAACTCTGGCAGTTTGGCTCCACTGTCTCATAGGGTTGATATGAGACAGTCTTTGTAGACATCCTGGTTCAGGGCCTGGCCCGGGGTCAATGCTCTAAATATTGAAGGACTAGTGACTTGGTGTGGAAGACAGAAAACGGGTCATCAAACTCACGACTCAGTATTGGCATTCAGTTCACGTATCTCCCCCAGTTCCCCCCAAGCCAGAGGTGATGGCAGGCTGTCCATACTTCTGTCCCCAGAACTGGCATCCAACCCAAATTACAGTGTTTGGTCATCATAGCTGTATTATGTAAATTAATTAATAAGCATTAAACTCAAAGTATAGACAGTAACATTCCTGCCTGGAATCTAAGCGTTTCTGTTCTCATAACAGTGGGGCCCCCTGGGAAGGCCTGCCTACCTTCATTCTCACTCCGGTTACAGGCGGATCACGTGTAGGCCTGCAGGAGTCTGTGTGGATGACCAACAGAGCACGTCGGGGGCCTGAGAACTGCTGTGGGAAGAGCTGCCTCCAGCTCAGTCACCTTAGCCACCCGCAGCCTGGACCTAGGCATTGCCCAGTCGTAGCCCATAAAGCAGCTGGGAAGGGGGCAGGGGAACCACGCCCGCGGAGCAGAGCAGACCCTCCTGCTCAGACCGCCCAACCTCCTAGGGAAGTTTCCCTGATGTCTGTAGCAGAGCCTCACAGAAAGACTTTTCAGCAACAGCTTTTCTTCCCAAAGGCACCCGAGGTGGGTTGCCAAAGTCACCAGGCCCTCTCTGAGGTTCCTGCTCAGAGTCGCTCTCACAGGCAGGCCCCCAGGAGACCCTCCAGGGGAATTCCGAGTGGGCAGGACAGCCTGTTTTCTGAACTTGGCTCCTCCCACAGTTGCTCAAGAATGCTGGCAGGATCGGGAGGCTAATCACAAAACCCTTCACTTTGAGTTGTTTTTTTTTTTCCCTAATACTGTCAGCCTGGCCAGCCCCCAGGACTCAGAAATGGGCCTGGTTATGTAAGCTAGAAGCAGGCAGGCCAAGGTGGAAGAGGTTTTGGCCACAAGGATAAGATCAATATGTAATTGCCTGGCAAGCCCAAGGTCATTGTGCTGCGAGGCACAGACAGGAGAGACAGTCCCCAGCTGGGCTCTCCTGCACAACCTCTCACAGGGAAAACAATGGATTTGAGATGGGTTCCCCTCACCTGAATTCCCCCACCGTTTCCTGTGTGCAAGCTAGAGCAAGAAACTCCGTCAAAGCCCTCTTTGTGCCAGATGCAGGGGACTCTTGCTGACAGAAATAAAGACTTCCTACTAATCCATTCACTGCAAAGTGCGGTGCCCAGAACATTCCGGGTACCCCTCAGGTCTCCAGCACTAGAAGTTCCCCACAAATGAAATTGTTTGTGTGGGAGACGGGAGTGGGGGGGAGTGTAGCCAGAGGTTGGCCCAGCTGCCTGTGTAGGTTGAGTTTGCTGAACATGTGGCCGATTTTCACAACACTCCTGGTCTGTCAAGCCAGCCCATGCTTCTTTGAGTGGGCAGCTGTCTCCTCAGCATGGTCTGAGGACAAGAGATAAGATGACACTCAGAAGCCTTCGGAAGTCCAGCCCACTTCCCTGTCTACTCCCGGGACCTCAGCAAGTCTCAGAGGAGTGAGTAAAGGCAGGCTGCACGAGACTTCAGGGTGGCATGAGGTTGAAGCCAAGAAGCAGCACGTGCGTGCGTGCGGCGGCTATCAAGGCTGCGTTTCTCAGACTGAACCTCTCTCTCCACTGTGTTGTGGGAACAGGGACACCGGTAACCAGCAGCCTCCTTGATAGGGGCTCCTGGTAAATGCCGCCACCACGGGAGACAGGAGCAAGATGGAAACAAAGCCCCTGGACGTCACACTCACAGAATCACCGACCCTGCGCTTGGAGGATCCCTTGGAAACGTCCCACTAGGTAGAGGACTGAGATAGAAACCAGACAGGCCGCTGAGGGTGGGGGTGGTGCTGAGAACAGCAGTCAGAGGTGTCCTTGGTTCTCTGGTTTCCCACTGCCTTCTAAATGAGCTCCACTGTCTCTGTGTGATGGGGGCGGGGGCTAGAACTCCAGTCCAGACATCAGTCATTCTGTATAAAGCTTTAGCTCTGGACGTTCATAAAACATGGGTTTTATCTATTCCCGATCTCAGCCCATCTCGTAAATGATTTTAGAGTTACCTTTTCAGTATGGGGGGTTCACAGTAAAGAATGGAATCTTCCTTCGGGGGAGACATGCTATTGTCTTTCCCAGGAAGAGTTAATTCAGCTGTGCGGATTCATACACACTGCACCACCTCTCAGGAAGATGGGGTCACCCAAAGCCCTGCTACAGAGATGGGAGGAATAATTATTCCTGTAATAAGATAATACACTCCTCTTTCCCAGAGTCCTCCTCTGCCTCTTCTCCAGCACAGTCTTTACAAGCTGCCTCGAGGTTCTGTTGGACTGACCCACCTTTCTGGCGACGTTTTTCTTCTTTTCCCTCCCTTTCCTTCAGATGTTGGCCGGAGCCACAGTGTGTTTTATTTTCGAAAATCAAAGCTGCCCTCTGCATCATGTAGCTTCTTGTCTGCCATGGGGCTGACCTCCATGCCAGCTCACTCAAATGCATGATTTTTTCCTGTCTGGTCTTCATTCTTCTCCTCCAGGTAGCTGATGTGATTTATGACACGCCTACTCTGAAATTTTGCTTTTAAACACAATTGTCCTTAAGCCTCCATTTGAGTCCATTTAAAAATTTTTTGAGTCATAAGATGAAGCACCCCAAGAGGGGATCCTATTTCCGACCTTCGAAATATTCCCTGATAGTTATACCAGGGATCAAAGTCTTCGTGTTCCTGCTAATGTCAACAGAGACACGGATTTTACTCACAGAGGAAAAGTCAGCTTGGCTGCAGACGTGTCAGAGGAAGTGGGCGGAATGGAAGACCCTCATTCCCCATCTCCAGGTCTGCTGAGCCTGGACTGAATAAAGGGAGGACTTAGATCTGTGGCTTCCAGAGCTTGCCTGCATCTACACCCACCCTAGGGGACAGCTGAAGGGAGGGGTGTGGCACGAACAACACAGAGGGTAACTGAGCAGCCAGGGAGAGTTAATGGACTTGGAGGCAGCACCGGAAGTGCAAATTGCCGAGGAGAAGAAAGTCCCTAGGAGTGGTCTGCCAGGAACAACCGTCAACCCTCACCCCCACATCAGTGAGATCAGGACTCCATCTGGCTTGAGGAAAATAAAGTCTATAGTGTCTAATGATTTTGTTCCCATCGCCCTAAATGAATAAACGCCTTTAACTCTGCTTGGAGGAAAACACAAATTATTCTAGCCATGCTATTTAAGTATAAGCTCAGGCGAATTACCTTTGCCTCCCTGACCTCAGGTCTAGCGCTCTAACCAGCGCTGACATAACAGAAGCTCAGCCATTAGCCTGTTGATACTCTGGAGCATCCCAGTTACACCACCCGGCACACACGCGTCTGTGTTGCAGCTAAGGCCTGACTCCTGCTAGCCAAACCCACAGATGGCCACTGAGGGACAGAGAACAGAATATGCAGTTTAGATTTTTTTTTTTCCTCATGCAAGAAAGTGGTAGAAGCAGACTAAACACGGTAGCTTCCAGGAACATTCCTTATCTAACACTGCTTAGTGTGTGATTTAGAGAAAAACTCTTTCTTTCTTGGCACGCCTTTTTAAGGACTGTCATAACAGAATGCCACAGACGAGGTGGCTTAAACACCAAAACCGTGTTTTCCATTTCTGGAGCTTGGAGGCTCGGATCAAGCCGTCAACTCCTCGAAGCCCCTCTCCTCATCTTGAGAACGGAGACACCACTCCTAGTGTCTTTGTAGGGTTTTCCCTTCATACATGATTGTCTAACCTCCTGTTTAATAGGGATACCAACTACATGACACGAGGACCCATCCCTAAAGACCTCACGTCACCATAGCAACCCCTTGAGAGGCATTGTCTCTAAATACAATCACATTATGAGTTATCTGAGTCAGAAAGATCAATATATAGAGTAACCTACGACTCAGCGTTTAGCCAGGGACATCGTACCACGTGGGCTTCATGAGTAGGTGGCACTGGACTGAACGCTCAGCTTGAATTTAATCCTTAAACCCAGCCCTTATGGTGGTCACCATAGACTATCCTATGAACCAGTAGTAAAGCTTTAGGGGTTAAATGACTGAAGCTCACACAACTGTGGGGTAGAAAGAAGGTTAGAAAGACGAAGCATCACACAATACAAATTCAAGACCGTCCACCTTCAGAGAGACCCAGGTTTGGAAAATCTTGTAACCGCTTCTGTTCCTAGCAAGTTCATAAAGTCAAGGGTGTTCTAGCACGCAGCACAAGGACAGGGAAGAGTGAGGAAAATATTTTGGAAAAGAAATTCTGCCTTCGATATTCAGGTTCCGTAGGACGGGAGGAAATGTGCTTTTTCCCAGCGATGCCTATTTTCGCAATTGTAAAGCAATCTCCAGACGAGGCTGAAGGGAAAGAAAGGCAATGAATAATTAAACTTTGTTACTGACGTTCTTGGCACTGTGTCAGAGAGCCAACGCTGACTATCCACTTTGGAGAAAGCCTCAGTTCGCAAGAACACATTTTGTTCTATGAAATTTGAGCTCTACGGGAAGACAGGAAGGAATGTGAGCTAACCGAAGGTAAGGAACATCTAAGTTGACCTTCCTCTGTCTTAAATATACAATCGCGTAGCTTTTTTTTTCTGATAGACTGGACCTACAACTAGATTGTGTGGACTAAACAGTTTATCAACGATCCCCCCACCCCCCACCCCCGCTCCTGTGCTAGGAATCAAACCCAGGCCCTGCTAGATACGTGTTCTACTACTGTTGAGCTGCATACCCAGTCCTTGATTTTTTGTAGTGGGATCTGGTTTGTCGCCCAGGCTGGTATGGAAGTCTAGATCCTCCTGCCTCTGCCCCTTGAGGAAGGGTTATAGACGTGCAGCGGTTGGTACCTTAGTCTCTAGTCTACCTGTACTTTCTTCTCTGCCCTCCTCTTCCACTCACTTGAGCCAGATCATCTCAACAGGAAACAATCATAGTTTGAAATGATTCCTGAACTAGACATTACAGACCAGATAGACAGGAGCTCCTGACTTCCTCCACGATAGTAGGATGGTATTTTAATTTATTAGCTAATATTAACCATAAACCTGCAGTTAGCAGCAATGAACTGCAAAGGGTGGCTGAGCACCATACAGAAAATACACATCATTTTAAATCCAAGTCTTCAATCTAATCTCAACACAAATCCACTTAACACTGAGTTTCTGAACACATAATGTATAGCAGTTAATAAAAATATTTGATACAAGGATCCAAAGACCAAAATCAGCAGTGACTACATTGAAACTTAACTGCAATAAATGAAAATTAACAAAATCCTACAAGGAAAGATAGTTTCTCTGTAATAAAATCGATACTGTGTTTCAAAAGCATAAATAATGCAAAGCAGGGCCGTGAACAACCAGTTTCCCACAAAGACAAAGATATACAGGTTCACAGTCATAGCCACGAAAATACCATCCTACACAGCTTCTCCAGGGAGATGAGGCACCCTACAGCTGAGGTGAGCTCTCCGGAGGGCCAGGCAGTGTACTGCACACCCCCTTGGCACCGTCCGGCACACAGGAGCCCTCTTACGTTCCTCCCACCCTCAGTTTCCCCTTCATGCCATGATTCCTACATATTCCTAATGCTGTTCTCACATACGGGGTTGTCCTATCTCCTTGTGGACACTGTGAGCTTTAGAAAAGTCAGCTACAGACATTTTGCTAGCTTTTCTAGAGATACAGTTTAGTGTTACAATAAGTTTGTACATACTAGCTTAATACATGAGTGATGATAAATTCAAATGCCTTCGGAGGGCTGTGCAGTGGTTCCCAACCTTCTCAATCTGTTGTTAAAGACTGTATCTTTTGGTTTATATGTGATTTCTTTCCTTGGTAGTATAACAATATATTTTCCAAATGCATTGATATATTCTCGTACACATTCTGCTACTTTATGGACTATAACTCCGGAATGGTTAACAGGGTCAGTAAATTTGGCAAAAATAAATAAAAAGACAAAGCCTCTGGGCATGGCTGTGAAAGGTTGTTCAGATGACATTAACTGAGGTGGAAAGAGCCACCCTAATGCACACAGCGCCGTTTCCTGGACTGAGCGGTGGATCAGCAGTCAAGCGCTTACTCACAGCTCCCGCAACAGACTTGGCTTCAGTTCCCAGCATAGAAATCGGCAACTCCAGTTCCAGATCCAGGGATCTGATGCCCTCTTCTGACCTTCGCTGGAACCAGGCACATACGTGGTGCACATACATCTGTGTAGGCACTCATACACATGAGGTAAAATAAATCTCTAAAATTTTTAAAATATATATTTGATTTATTTTACAGCCTTCCTCTCCTCCCAGTCCTTCCCCTAATCTCCCCTCTGAGCTCCCATCCACTCCTCTTCTGTTTCTGCTCAGAGGAGGGTAGGTCTCCTGTGGGTATCAACCAAACATGGTATATGAAGTTGAAGGCTGGGCAAGGTAACCCAGGATGAAGATAAAGGCTCCGAAAGCCAGTAAAAGGGTCAGAGGCAGCTCCTGTTCCCACTGTTAGGATCCCACAGGAAGACGAAGACACATGATATACGTGCTGAGGGCCTGGGTACCGTGTAGACATGCTGGTTGTTGGTTCAGTCTCTGTGAGCCTGTGTGAGCCCACATTTGTCGATTCTGTGGGTTTTCTCATTGTGTCCTTGACCCCTCTGGGCTCTTACACTCTCTCCCCCACTTCTGCAGGACTCCTCGAGTTCTGACTAATGTTTGGCTGTGGGTCTGCTTCTGTTTCCATCAGCTGCTGAATGAAGCCTCTCTGGTACCAACTGGGCAACAATCTATGAGTATAGCAGGATATCATTAGGAATCATTTCACAGATTTTGTTTGTTTGTTTGTTTGCCAGTTGTGTTTGGTTCCACCCTAGGTCTCTGGGTTGTCCAGCTTCTGGGTCCTGTCCTTCCAGGCAGTGTCAGGGGTGGGCTCCCTCTGATGGTGTAGGTCTCACGCTGGACCAGTCATTGGTTGGCCACTCCTACAATTTCTGCACCTCCTATACCCCAGCACATCTTGTAGACAGGGCAAATTGTCCTGAAGGTTATGTGGTTGGGTTGGGGTCCCAGTCTCTCCACTGGAAGTATTGCCTGGTTACAGGGTCTTACCTTGGGTCACCTTTGTAGACGCCTGAGAATTTCCACTGCACTAGGTTTCTAGCTCATCCCGAGATGCTCTCCCCACCCCCGCTCAATCCTCCCTCCCGACCTGATCCCTCCTGTTCCCATCCCTCCTACCCCTTCCTCCATCCACCATGTCTTCCCATTTCCCCTTCCCAGGGGTTTCCTAGTCCCTCCTTGAGCCCTCCTGTTACTTAGCTTCTCTGGATCTGTGGAAGTTTATCCTTCACTTTACAGTTAGTAACTACTTATGAGTGAGAACCCACCATGGAATGTCCCTCTGCTTCCTGACCATGGACATAGTGTGAGCAGCCCCTTCAGACTCATTGCCACCGTGATTTCCCTGCCATGATGGACTGTGAAGAAAAATAAATGCTTTCTCCTGTAAGTTGGTTTTGCCAGGTGTTTTTTTTTTGTTGTTGTTGTTTTGTTTTTTGTTTTTTTTTCCACAATGACAAGACAGAAGACTCACACATGTGTGGATTAGAATCAGACACAAACTAAGGTCGATATTTTCAATAATCTCCAGTGTCCAACTCCACTATCCAAAGAAAGCAAATCAACAAATGTTCTTTGTCACGTTTAAAGATGATTTGGGGACATACTTGCTGAGTTATTTATACTGCATCTCACCAAGTGACTCAGAGGACAGAAACAACGTGGAAATTCCTCAGAATCGGTACTCTGCAGTCAGGGAAGTGACTGCCTCGGGGAAGCTGTACTCCAGTCCAGGCGGATGGCCCTGCAACTCTGCGGCAAGGGCTGTCAATACAACCCTTTGAGTCAGCTCAGAAATTCTTTCATTTGCGTCCTTGATGGGCATTCAGTGCTCTCTTGCTGGGTCCTTGTCTCCTTGGAGTCAAAGGAGATGCTCTTAAAAGATAGGAGTCCACAGGCCGTCTGACTCTCCAGTCTTGATGTTCAGAAAACAAGATCGTCATTCTGTGCTCGGGTGGTTGTTTTTCTCTTGCACGCAGGTTGGGAGCACTGAACGCGGGTGC